TCTCCCAAGCAGCCTGCTCAGTCTTGCCAACATGTCCATGGGAACTGAAGGAATCACCCACAGTCATTGGTGTTGCCACAACACTGGTGACATCACAGAGAACACCAAGCACTCTCCCTGACAGAACAGAATCTCCATGGAAGGGATGATTAGGGTCACCCCTGGCAGTCCTCACTTATCCACTAACTAGCTCTTCTGAAGTTCATCAAAACCATGTTGCCTTTCCCAGCAGCCTTCCCAGAAACGCAAGGGAAGACCTTTACCACCTCCTCATTACAAAGTCAGAGATCTCTTTCTGTTTCATTAGAATATTTTCACTACTTCATGTATGGGAAGTTGAAGAATCACTTCAAAATACATCCCAGGCAATGACTGGCCCCTTCTTGAAATCTCTAATCAATAACATGAGAAATGAATATTGCTAGGGAATTAAGTCAGAATGGTGAGAAGGAAAGGTTGATCCCCTGATGTCAACAAGCACATTGTGGAGGATTCCCAAGGCTGTTACAGTATGTGGATATGGTGGGAGGTTGTGGGTGTCCTGTCAGAACAATGAAATGTCCCTTAGTTAATCAGAAAAATTTCCCTGAATCATCAGCGCAATAAATTCAAGCCAACACGATATTAGCAAATTTGTAATCAACTAGTGACATGTAAGGCTGGAGATGATAAGAACTGGGACTCTCCAGGTGAGCCCTGAGACACAAGAGCAAACACTCCCAGGAAGAGTGATGGTCCATTCCTGCACTCAAGTGTGAGGAAACATGAATAGCTAGTGAGAGGCCAGACAGAGATATGTAAGGACAAATGTGTCACAGTCAAGGGGACAATATGTAGTGTGACACTGTTATGTTGCTTTACTTAGAGCTACACAAAGACTAACTCCTTGATGTGGAGCCACCTGTAACAATGCACATGCCCTTAGGAAGGAAAGGGGTGCAGCCAGCTTAAAGAATACTCACGGGAGCATGAGAAGGGCAGGCAAAGGACACAGGAGATATACGAGGGGTCCTTTGCCGGAGACCTTTCCAGAGCCACACATCACACTCGTGAATTTCCTGGCAGTCCTGAATTGAGGAGCTAGCAACATGTTCAGCCTGGATTGCAAATTCTTCAGAAGACTGGACTGTAGTCTCAGGAAGGTACTTGGTGGAACCAAGAACAAATGAGTGATCTGGGGTAAACCATGTCCATTCAGATGTTATATCACACTGACAACCTAATTAGACAAAGTTATGTATCTCAGTAATTGCCTAGTCTAGAAGTAAAAGCACAGTACCTGCCCTATGCACTACCTCATCTCAGTCAAATCTGACCCACTGAAGGATGCTCAGGAAGTAACTGACAGATGAGTCTTTGTCCTAGCAATTCCTCAAAGACAAGACTTGAGTCTCCCCCTCTGTGGATGTCAGTTCTCCCATCTCTCTATAGGGAGGTGGATGTCTCAGAAATCAGTAGGTTTCCTCTGTCTCTCTAGACAATGTAACCCAGGGGACATCCTTCTAAAGCTTATTCACAGCTACAGAGAATGCTCTGTAGCTTCAGAGCCCTCAGCCAAGTGCTTTGAGAAATCAGAAAATTGCTACTGTCACACTCAGGTAGTGTATAATTGATCGCCTCACTTGCTCTACACTTCAGACTCTCATGTTAATGGGGAAACCATGGGAGGGGTGCATCATCACTGATAGTTCAAGACACCCAGAGCTAACAGGATGGGGACAGTATCAGTCCAGGTCCACTGAATCTAACAGCTCTCAGGCTGAACTGTAGACCTGTACGCCATCAACAGTTGGTATTCAGAAATCTCAGGGGTCATTTGAAGACAGCAGCATTTAGTATTCCTGCCCTGATAGTGGTGAGATGTAAAGCATGAGAAAACCTTAGGCTTTGTCAGTGCAGTCTCCTTTCCCTATTATTATTGGCACACAACTAAAAATCTCCAGTGTGTGTGGGAGGGAACACAGTTATGGTACAGAAATCTCATTAGTTTCTCTGTGCCTCCTTCCCAACTCAGAGTGAAAGCAGATGATACCCACCAACGCAGCTAAAGGCTTGTCAATTCCTGAATCTGTTAAACTAACCATCATGGATCCTTGATCTGGGTCTGCTCTTTAGGAACCCA